ATGTAGAATTTGGGAAAACCATGAAAAACGCGGCAGACGGTCGTATAACTATAGCAGACGCCTTTGAAATTTGTAGTTCCATCTTCGTTTAACGCATTACTCCCCGTGCGGTAAAGCGAGAGCGCTGTCACTCAAGCACGCTCTGCTTGTAAAAACGGATCTACAGCTGGAAGTAGGTACCTACACCTAAATTAAATGTAGGCATTCCACAAATAATAGGATTTATGAAATACAAACCGTTATAAGTGTTTAGAATGGCAATATAACAAAAAAAAACGAATAGGTACGCTAGGGGTGCGGGGGTAAATGCCAAAACTGAGGGAAATCTTCCATTTAATATCCCCATAACTATCTAAATGAAGGTGTTTTTAAAACTTCATCGATTCATTTTATCAAAATTGCAATGGTTCGCTTTGAAATGAAAGTCTTGTATAGGTATCGTTACGGCATTTGACATTATTTTACTATTTTGAATTTTGGCACCATCAATGTGTATCTCTCATTATTTTATCAAAAATTCGTCAATAAAGTGGCTTTTGACACAGACGGAATGGGACGCTCAATTATACCATAGACGCTCATTAAAATGTACGGAAAACAAATATCGCGTACAAGAGTAAATATTTCCGCTGTAAACGTTGTTTATTATAAATACTTTTTTATTATACCTGAATCACAATCTCCGTTTTAAACACTCAAATGCGTGCGAAAATAGTATATTAAAGTACAAGTGTCATTTGACGAAGATTGTCGCACGAGGTAGTTTGCCGCATAAGCCGCTACGAATGCGGCAAAAGCCGAGTGCGACAAGTAGACAAATGACACGTGTGCTTTATACTATTTTTTCTATTTCGACTTTTATTTTAAATAATAAATTATACAAATTATAAATATTGCCTTTAGGCGTTGTTAGGTAATTTTAAACTATCATTCAGTGTATGTTGGTAATAGACACAGTTCATTTATTTTCACGTTGGCTAACCTGATTCCTGTATTTTCAAACTTCAAACTTTTAATTATTTGGTCATAATTCCATTTTGCGGCAGTTATGATGAATACGGATGACAAACACGTCTCTTGTACCCCACCAGAGATCCAAGAGATTGCCAATGAAGCGACGTTAAATTTACTGCCTGTAAAATCGAAAGTAAAGTACGAGGAGTACAAAATTTTTGAAAACTGGCTGGCCGAGAAGGGAGTTCAAAAAGTAAGCAAGAATGTACTGCTGGCATATTTTACTACGCTAAGTAAAAATAAAAAAAGTTCTACCCTTTGGAGTATATATTCAAAATTAATCGGGATTAATACAATCGGTCCAGTTCCTCATACGTTATTTACACTTTACAGGTTATGTTTGGTTTTGATTTGACGGATACCGTTGATGGCAAAAAAGCGAGGGGTACCAATCCAACAAAATAAAAAAAATAATACGTTTCTATTTCTTTCAGCATCATTTCTGTCTAGAAACGCACGCAAACTGGGCCAATCAAGTACGGTTTCGGTATTGTTTCCATATCGAAATAGAAAAAAGGCCTTTAAAACACACGTGCTTTAAAGTTGCTAAGTAACGATACTTCAAGAAGAACATTTCTTTGACTTTTGTACCTATCCTTTGGTTGAAGCTTTCACAAACGCGCCTAATGTAGGGTATATGCTTCCAAATCTGTTCCACTTTTTAATCGCAGCATTGCTTTGAAGTTTTGAATGAATGCACCAAAAATACCTTTGACATTTCCTTCATATATGCCAGCATTTTCGATTAATTTAAGACTGTATTCGTAAGTAACTTCCTATTCATCCATGGAAACAACTTTTCATATTCTTTATAATAGGCTTTACTGGAGTTGGATTTTACGCCTACCAACGTTTGTTTAGATTTTACAACAACCGATTTAATGGACGGCGTATTATCTTTTTCAATGGAAATCGTTTAATTCACCAAGACGATGATTTTTATAAGCAAACGTCAAGTGACATTTCCATGGCAATCGTGAAATTACGAACACCCAGCCCACTTAATTAGACATGTATTCGAGATATAACGTCAATATGACTTCATTGTATTTCCTATTTTTAAATTATACTGCAGGTATAATAAAAAATACTATAAGATACACGTGTATAATTGGTCTTTAAAGCACTTGCAACGTTAAAGGCACTCCGCTTTGCGTCGTGCCCTTAAACTCGTTGCGCGTGCTTTAAAGACCTGATTATACACTTGTATCTTAATATACTATTTCCTCAGTGAACTGCATTTTACAAAAAAATTAATGCCAGTTATCAGCAACTAATATTGATTTGGATTTGAATAACGTTTGAATCTGCTTTTTGTCTTACTAGTCATGGTTAAACATGATTTTGGTAATTGGATTTATTGCCGAATTTGTGCTAAAATAATGAGCACACCTGAAAATGAACTATTTCATACATCATTAGATGAGAAAAAAATCTTCTTTCGATTGGTGTCATTATAAACCGTGTAAGTTAACATGAGGAGTAACTATCTACAAAAAACCTTTTTCCCATGTTAATTCTGTATGTTCGGTTTTAGTATACGGACCGTGCGGTTTGGGAAGATCAACCCGGTATGTAAATTGCGAGGTAAATTGTGAAGATATATGTTACAAATTTTATAGTTTAGATGGCTTAATATACATATAGGGAAGTTCAAAACAGCCTCAACTGTACCTATACGTATGCAGAGGGTGACACAAGAATTGTTTTCCGTTTATCGTAAATGGCAGTTGCAAAGAACATAGATCTTATCTTGCTAAGGTTTTAAGAATAATAATTGGGTTTCTTTAACTCGATAGTCTCACCCCTTGATCTGAAAAAAAGTTAGATTTGGGACCTTTAATTGAGAAACGCTTTAGTTTGAGCTACGCTTCGTTTATACGGTGTCTGTATCACCGTCCGTTTGAGAGTGTTGGCACACTCCCTTGATTTAATATAGGTATCTCATTTAATGTTTCACATTTAATAAAGTATACGTAAGATCTGTGTTATTCTATGGTAAATATGAAAACTGAATTTTCAATCAATATCACCTGGTGAATTTTGTTTAGATATTAAAATAAAAATTAATGGCAATATATGAAATCACATTACAAAAAACATTGATGGTGCCAAAATTCAAAATAATAAAACAATGTCAAATGCCGTAACGATATACCTATACAAGAATTTCACTTCAAAACGAACCATCGGGTGTAATTTGCAATTTTGGTAAAATGAAACAACGTAGTTTTAAAAACAACTTCATTTAGATAGTTTTGGGGATATTTAATGGAAGATTTCTCTTAGTTTTAGTATATACCCCCGCACCCCTAGCGTTTTCGTTTTTTTTTTGTTATATTGCCATTCTAAACACTTTTTATAGCGTTTTGTATGTTGTGTTAGTCGTTATTTACATTAATAATGTAGTGTAGTAAAGTGCAGAAATATTTTTTTTAGTCGATAGTCGGAAAAATGGCATATTATTGTTTTGTTTATGTCATCACAAAGCATGTGATTTCCGTACTGTACGGGAATCTTAATTCCTGTACAGTACGGGAAAATATCTATATTCTTGTGAGCATGAAAAAATAAAAGAACAGTTATACACGCAAATGAATAGTTTATTGCCTATTAATATGTACATTAATAGTACAATTATTGCAGGTTCCAATCAAATTTGATAGTCCAGTCAATGTCGACTCTACTTCATAAATTAATTGAAGAAGTGGACTCCGTATTTGTTTTGGAGATGGTGCTAGTAGAGACGCCAACATTGCTTGCACCCTTACACTGAATATGTGCGCCAGAAATTGAAGTAACTATTCTCTCTGCCACATCCATTTTATTTTTTAAGGATTCTTCTATATATCCTTCCGCCACATTCGACGATTTCCAACCGCCGTGACGTTTTAAAACAGTCAAATCTGCACCATTATCTACCAAAATTGTCGCAGATGTCCTTCGAAAACAATGTCCCGTGCATTGAGTTAGAAAACTAATGGAGGGAATATAATGGTAGAGGGGGTAAGAATTTTTGTAGACGGAAGTTGCCACAGATAGAGGCCACTCGCGTGGATAGGTTCCCGTGAAGGTACATTTTGGCCGACATTATTTGACATATGAAAACGCGGGTCCTGTCACTGTCAGTTTTCCACCAAATTCAAATTTTATTAAATTTGCCATTTTAAAGTACCTAATAATTTCGGATCGGTTTGTGCTCTGGTTTATATAAATAACTAACTGCCTCATAGTGTTTTTATCACACGCAATTTTGTGAATTGTGAATGATTAGCTGCGTATCATGCAAAATTTCTCATAAAGGGAAGAAACAGGGCATTTCCTTTCATCGGTAAGACATGTCATTTATCATGTTGTAGGCGAGGTTGTAGGTACCTAGTTTATGTTTCTAGTTTTCCAAACGAACCGGTACTTCGAGCAAAATGGTAATATTACATTTGTAAATATATCTCAAGAACAGCTCTCGAAATTTACTTTTGTGCTCACAACACGTCATTGACTGTGATTTCGACCAAAGGTTGCCCCGGAAAATGTTCATCAAATATCTCGTCAAATATGGAAATATGCAGTAGGTACCTACTATCAAAACTTGTAATGAACCTGAGACCAACCAATCAATTGTAGCTATTGATCAACACAGTGAATTTAATGGGAGCTGTCAAGTTGTAGTGGCTATAGTAAATTGGCCTTAATTATATTAATGGAACACATCGATGTATATTTAGATTTGTAATCAATGATTATATTAAATCTGCATACTTTCTCATCCTTGTCTATTTTGTTTACTTTACCACGAGCATGTATTTTACTCCTATACGTTTTTTTGTTATTATTCCTATTAGTGGAAAGAAAATTATATCTCTACGCCACTGAAGTGAGACGCTAATGATAACGGAAGTGGTGTGGTACTTTAATCACAGTTAGAGGCCACTTTTGGTTCCCGTGGTCTACGTCTGGCCAAGCATTTGATTCCCTCCATTAGTTTTCTAACTCAATGGTCCCGTGTAAAGGTTTGCATCGGACAGTTTCAAAAAGTTAGCAACGATTTGTGGAATGCTGGCAAATTTATGCACCCCCACTACTTGCTTAAATCCTTTACCATTATGGTATTTGAAGAAAAACCTATTGCAGTCAAAATTGGATGGTCGAACGGCTGCATATTTACGGTATGTTCCTAAATAAGTGTCGTTTACTATAAACGACCGTGGTTTATTGGTTTTGTTGCATGGAATCTTCACCAGTAGTTGTGAACCCAAATCCTCTATGTCCGTAAGCTTTATGTTACATAACTCCTCTCGCCGACAGGCGCCATAAATTCCGAAAATTACCACAACCTAAAAAAATTAAATTATAATCTTCAGGCCTTTCAATTAAAATCTTACTTTAGCCATGAGGTAAGTATCATCTGGAGCGTTCATCATAAATTCTCGGATTTGTTCGTTGGTGAAGACTTTCGACTTCTTTGCTTTGTAACCCACGGATTGCTTTTTCAAATATGCTCGCAGTTTGTTATATGAAGTGATGTCTACATTTTGCTTTAACATAAGAGTGGCCTTCAACATGGAGTAATTTGCCCAAAGTGTTGAGGGTTTCATCTTTTTCGACAAATCAAGAAAATATCCGAGTACCACATTTTCCGAAAACGAATAAGTTCCTTTACTTGATCTATATTCCATAAAACGTTGATAAGCATTTTCATACTTCCCCTCGATTTAGTTGGCAACAGATTAAGAGTAGCTTCATTGACTGCCTCCAAAACTTCAGGTGGTGTTCTACAAAATAAATCTTCATCAAAATTACCATCGATATCCATTTTATATTAATATTGCACATCAACTAATTATAAATTCACTCAAACGAAAAAATTTTCGATTTGTTTACGTCATGTCCATGGTAACGTTCAAACAATGCATGCTCGGAAAACAAACTTGATGTTTGCATTTATTAATTACTGTAAATAAAAAAAAGGTGCCGCCCGGGTTCGATCCTCGCACCTATCGCATACAAGCCTAGACTAATGACATTAGACCAAATGACAATTGGTGAAAATTAAATTTAGTTTGAAATGGTATATTTGGTGTTTTAACTATTGGCTATCGACTAAAAAATAGTATGTACAACACGTAGGAAAAGTATATTCCTGGACTCTGATAGTTGTAAGCCTCGGCTAACGCCTCGGCTTACAATCACTATCATCGTCCAGGAATATGCAACTTTTCCTACTTGTCATACAATCTACTATTAATATTTGTGTTCATGTTTTGTGACATAAATCCTATTATTTGTGGAACGCCTACATTTAATTTAGGTGTAGGTACCTACTTCCAGCTGTAGATCCGTTTTTACAAGCAGACCGTGCTTGAGTGCCAGCGCTCTCGCTTTACCGCACGGGGAGTAATGCGTTAAACGAAGATGGAACTACAAATTTCAAAGGCGTCTGCTATAGTTATACGACCGTCTGCCGCGTTTTTCATGGTTTTCCCAAATTCTACATTCAAAGAGGTATATTTTAAGCTATAATTCGAGCGTGTACCTTATGACGAGGTATTTAACAATTTTTGAATGTTTTTAAACGCGTCTGCTCGGGAAAGTTTCCCAGATAAATCGTCTGCCGCTGCAACTATGAATTGGGTGCATATTTCCGGATCAGATTGCAAAAAATCATACGTGTACCAGTGACGAGGTATTATGTGATTTGGAACAGTTTTCAAAATTCGCCCCCACGCCAAGTTGACCGCCGCGGGTCGGCAGACGGGCGATTTTGGAATCACACGGTGACATTCTACGGCCTAGTTACATCAAACCTTTTGTACCCTATGACGAGGTATTTTCTACGCGGGCTCTCGGTCTATATAGGATTATTACAAAAATTTAGACACGTAAAAGATCATGGTCATTTGGTCGCCATAATTAAAAATGGCCACCACGTTGCTAGATTGGTAGCTACCGAGCTTGAGAGGTACCTATTGCGATCACCATTTTTTAGACATTTCAAAATGTCATCGAATGTCGACGTTTAGATCATTTTTACCAACTGTTAAAAAATGTATGTATACATATGTATACAGCGTGTTCCTAAATATGATGTAAATACGGAAGGGGCGAATTCTTTGGCTTATTTTGGGACTAAAAGTTCATAGATACATGGGTCCGCAAACGCTTTGTTACCGATCTACAGGGTGTTATAATTTCACCGTACACTTTACAAATTAAACTTTTATAATTTATAAACATATGCAAACACAAGGTACAATTTCAATTACTAATTAAAATTACATTTACTTAGTTATAAGTACTAATAGGAACTAAGAAGTGGCTTAGTTTGGTCGATTAAAGTCTTCGTTTAGGTCGAGATTTTGAGTGAATTATACCTTATACCTCGCCTAGAATCTCGAATTTTATTCATGGTCTTTTCAGCAGAAAAAATAAAAAAAACCATCGATCTTGCAAGTGCGCCATACGTTGTTATATGTAAACTTTTCTTTATTATGTAACGCTAAATTTCCTTGTTGCCTACACCTATTACGTTGCAGTCAAATCAAAAGGTACATGTATTGCGCAGCGATAACTAAATAATTGTTGCCTACGCCATTGTGTAAGTGTACGCGACTGGCATTGAAATAAAATTGTGCGTTTAAGTTTGCGAAAGTGATAACAGCTTTGTAGCACGAAGGCGTTAGTTTTCCACGGTGGCTATGGCGTTGTTTTTAGTAGCGCATTGTCTTGAGTGCCGCCACCAAGGAAGAAAATAACGAGAGTTCCCTAACTACAAGACATCTTCAGTGTTCTTAAGACAAAGAATAATGCCATCGTAAGTACCATTGAACTATAAACAGCTGTCATCGTGAGCATATATACGTACCTACGTCGTATTGCGTTAATTAAACATCATACCCGAGCTTTGGTACCTGGACAAAGGTAAGCTGTAAGCCTTTAAAAAGGTAGCTTTTAATCTCACTTTGGGTGGCTGGCTGGCAGTAAATGCGAACCCGTAGAAGAACGCTTGTAAAAAGACGCGGAGTGTACATGTACCACCTATCAGGGCCGTGTAGTTAACAACTTTAGGGACGGGGCTACATGATGTGGAGTTGGTGGCATTTGGGCGTCATCACCGAGCGTTGTACACCTTACACTAACCTGGAGATTTTTCAGTGTTTTTCTATCTTCTTCTACAGTTTTTCTCCGATTGTTTTCAAATAGGTCTCGTTGGAAAGATCTTTTCAACGTGCACAACTCCTGGGTGGCGGAATTTTGCTTTTTTTCCTAGGGGCCTGTTGCACGGCGTGCTTCGAGAGGTAGTCGACTTTGGGCGCCCAAATGTTTCTTAAAGCTCGAGCTATGAGAAGTACCCAAAATTGAGTACTATTTAATGCCGGCTTTTTGGCGAATTCCACCAAAATGCGAATTGCGAGTGAACGGGATCTGCCACACAAAAATGCGCTGAAGTCCCTTCCATCTTACACGAGGACTTTGATAATTTTTTTAACAATGTAGAGTTATTGTTAATTTTAATATCACTACTACCATTGAATAATATTATTCAATGCTACTACACACGGACAATATTACCTTATATTCTCACTCACTGGATATATTTGCACAACTTTACCAACTATCGTAGTGTAACTAATCTTCCAAAAGACGCCGACCAAAAATTTGGTTTCGCATTCAATAATTCCGAGAATAATTCTAATTGCGCGACTTTGAGGAAGAAACTATTAACCAAAAGTTACTACTGCGATTGTTTTATTTGTACAACTCATTTTTTTGGACGACATATTTAATAGAAAAAAAGTATATGGATGGATAACAATTTTGACACTTTTTGGCCGACTTCTATCTGTCTACAAACCGAGGTACAACATCTATCGACGAACGGAGAAGTGAGAAACATAGGTGGTTCGGGAAGTCGAAATCGTTCTCTTATTAGGCACTCGTCTATTCTTCAGATAATACTAATTTTTGACAGATTGATACCAGTTCAGGGTTTCTAGAAGATTATCACGTAGTTCCCAAAATGGGCGTATTCTAAGGCATCACAGGATGATTATCTGCATTTGCGTAATGGTCAAAGGGGCAAATAAAACCCACTCGATAAGAAATAAAGTTTAGCGTATTAATTGTAATTGTAACCCATCTTAGATTTCCAGTAGGCGAACAAATTATTTGCAACAATCAAGAAATCCGGAGAAGTTCTCTCGTTATCACTTCTAATTTTTCGCATCAAAAAATGAATAATAATATTCAGCGTGATAGGTAACTCATTGGCATTGCGCAACAAATATTCATAAATTCCCCCGGAAGATACTTAGTGAAAATAAATCATATCTACAAAATTCAGTTAATTCGTTTCACGTAATACCATCTTTTAAAAGAAGTTATCTCACTAACTGTCACTGGAATGAAGTTACTGTTGCGTAAAAAGAGAGGTTATCATTATCAGAAAGACCAATTCTAGTTTCTGACTGTTGGGTCAAACTCTTGATAGAATTACTCGTAATGAAATGCAGGGTTATAGAATTAATAATTTTGTCATAGATTACATTTACATTAGATAATCTTCTCATTTGTTTATCATCTGCGGTACCTTATATTGAATGTGTATTTTTTTAACGTCAAGGACTCTCCGGATAGGTAAAGTACCTGTAACCCGAGGGCATGAATCATAGTCAATAATGAAGTTTTCCAATTTTTTTCCTTGGAGCTCGTATTTTTAACTGCTTACTGCAGATTTGGGGACTTGGGTTCGCTACTTTTTTAAATCGTTTTTCATTGATACGAAACTGGGCGTTGGTTTTATTGCACACTGGAAACTACACTGGTGATTTTAGGCCACTTCCGAAGGCGCGGTTTCCCCAAAGGAAAATTTGCTTTGAGCTATTCTACAACAACATTTAAAAAAAAAGTAAGCAATGATGTTCATGTGTTTTCTTAGGATGATTATTAAAAACCCTGTTAAAGCCGAAGTATTGTGGAAAACCACCACAAAGGTCGCAATCTTTTTTCTTCAAAATTACTCTTCATTGTATTTCATTCTGTGAAGCTAAATATTTCGAAAACTTGTAATGCGTTTTTCGAACATCTAAAAACCATCTCAGTTTCTCTTTCGTTCAAATTTAATTAACTAATCATAACTACCACAACATGACTCTTCCAAATTTTAATTCTCTAAGTCAGAAAGAGAAGTGCTGCATTACCGTATTTTCCAAAAAAATATAGAATACAGAAATATTCATAAGCGAAAATAGTTATTTATATAACAAGAGCGCGAAGTTCAATTTCGCGCATTGAGACTGAAGGTATTTTGACGAGGCGAAGCCGAGTCAAAATATCAGTCAAATGCGCGAAATAACTTCGCGCTAGCGTTATATACAATATTTTTTTTCTATTTCGGTGTTACAATGAGAATTTTGTGCAACCGTTTTCGGCAAAAACAGTGTTTCAATGAGTTCCATTGTAACATTGTTTTTGGTAACTTTTCATCTCTAAGTTGGCAGTTCGCCAAGACGTCAACGTCAAATCATCCGATGTAAAATCAAATTACGTAAAATTTATGTGTTTTCCTTGATTTTTGGTACACGAAGAACTTAATACGTTCCAAATCAGCAGTTTACACATCCACCATAAATAAATTTATCTACGAATAAAAAATTACACATTCACGGAATTTAAAGTTTCCAAATGTCAGTGTTGTGTT